AACTCCTTCAAAAGGTTTGAAATTTCTCCAAAAGTGACAAACGTTGTCATATTAGGTCAATCTGACATTTAAACACCTTGTTTTACACTTTTTGTTTTATCCTTTTTTTTTAATCCTTTTTCTTTTTTCCTTTCCTTTTAATGCACTGTGGCTTTTTTACACAAATATTGTCCAGAATGACTCGAGATTCGTCCAGAATGTCTGGAAAAAATATTCAAATGACCTAAATTGATGAAAAGTCACTGAAAATATCTTTAAACTTGTCCAAAATTATAAAAGTATGTCATTATTTTTCTGCATTTTATCCTTTTTTTTTTCTCTAAAATAATTTTTTTTTATTCTATTTGATTCATTTTTTTCTTTTTGCTGTACTATAATGCGCTGCGGTATCTTATATACAATAGATGCTATTTGTATAAATTGCTGTTTGTTTTATTCATTTACTTGTATTGAATTTAGTATATTTTACTGTGTTTCCACTTTATGCTTCTCTGGGTTTTAATTTTTTACTTGTTTAGCTCTGTTTTTAAAAGGAGATTAAATATTTTTCTGAGCATTTTTATCAGTTGTAGTGTTATTGTGTCACTTAGAAGTCTTTTATTCCTTCCAGGTGAGACCGGCTGGAAACCCAGTAACAAGGACAAAGGGTAACTTCTTATTTTTATCTATATTTATGGGTTGCTGCTACATTGACACTTTGAAGTTCGCAGAATAAGATTTAACTGTTTGAGTTAAGCATAAGCAACAATTAAAAATCTCTCAGATGGTTTGAGAGAGGGGTGAAAGAAGCAATCTATGTCAAACTGGAAAGACCATCCCTCTACAGAGGTGGAAGTCTGAGGCATCTCCTCTCACCTGTTTACAATCCAGTCCTAAGATCTCTCCCCAGAAAGATAAACCACACCTAGCCACAAAAGACCCTATGGAACCCCATTGTGGCAGGGGGAGTTGTAACGACTCGCATAATGAGAGGGTGGAGTAACGACCCCCCATTTGAATTCAAAACTCAGGTGTTAATGGCTCCTTAAGGTTATAAGTATCTGGAACTCCCAAGTAGTTGGTCAGACCTGATGAAGCCTCTTGGATGAGAGGTGGAACGTTTTCAAGGAACTCAAGCAAGTCCAGTTGCTCAATAATCTACCAGAATAACCATGACCTGGATGACTGAGAATCTCCACAAACAACAATTAAAAATCCAAAAGTATATTATAGTAGGAGAGAAAAACAGTATTAAGCTTTAAGTTTTTCTTACTTTTCACTCTGATAGATGATCATCTTCATTTGTAACTTGACACCAGCTGAGTGTCGTTTATACTCAGGAGTCTCCCGGTTAACCATCTGAACACCAACTCCTGCATGTGGGTGTGAACGGGATTTTATCTTTTTTTTTAAAAAAAAAAACCTGCCAAATTTGCATCTTTTGTCAGAGCCAGAAACTGTCAAAGCAGAAAGAATGTTCAGCTTTTTGACGTTTTGTTGGAAAAATGAACCAAATCTACACTTAAAATCCCAACATTTGATCAAACATGACTTCAGTCTGCATGTCTTAAGATTTTGACAGAAATAAACCATTTGCAGTAACTGGATTCTGTAAAAAAAAAAAAACACTCCTCGGCGTAGCCCGGAACGGTCGTGAAAAAGATTCAGTAACTGTTTGAATGAACTGCAGGCAGTGTTGACACAACGATGAATTAAAAATGTGAATAATTAATCACCTATAGGACGTAGAGCGACCGTATTTTTTCTAGTATTGGTCACATCTGTTGTACATGTTGAGTCCAGGTTTTTTCAGTTTTTGTAAAATAAAAACGTCAAAGAAATTTATGTCATATAGACAGAAGACATGTCTGACTTCTCTCCCTTTTTGTGGCTGTTCTGTTTCCATAGAGGTGCAGGACTTTATACTGCAGCGAAAAATGAGTCCACAGTGAAGACAAATACGACCATAGTGAATTAAGATTAAAAAACAAATATAAAAAACTAAAATTGACATCCGTTCTTCTTGGATAGAAGCTTATGAGAGTGTAAATAAGCTTTATATCCCCTGCTCTGGGTCTAAAACTGACTTTTGTGCCACCTTTGAATGTTGTTGGTGAAATAAACATGAAACTAATAAGTAACTCAGAGTGTTGCCAATGTTTGACTCATTTATCATGTGTGTGTGTTTTGTAGGAAGGAGGTGAAGGACCCTGATGTGCTCTACAACATGCTGAAGAACCTCCTGGCTCAGATAAAGGTGAGACTCGCCCGTTTACACCACAAACAAAAACTATAAAGACCTGTGACTGACGAGGGCGTCGTCGTCTCTTTTTAACAGACTCATCCTGACGCTTGGCCCTTTATGGAACCGGTGAAGAAATCCGAAGCTCCAGATTATTACGAGATCATCCGCTTTCCCATCGGTGAGCAAACATCCCTTCAAGAACACATAAAACACAACATAATTTCTGGCTCAGATCATTAATCATTGTGGCTATTTTTTAAAACGCGAACACACCTTTTAAACCCTTTCAATTTTCCCTAATTTGTCGTCTTAAGACCTGAAGACCATGACAGAGAGACTGAAGAACCGATACTACGTGACCAAGAAGCTTTTTATCGCCGACCTGCAGCGAATCATCACCAACTGTCGTGAGTACAACCCCCCAGACAGCGAGTACTGCAAGTGTGCCAACACCCTGGAGAAGTTCTTCTACTTCAAATTAAAAGACGGAGGCCTGATTGAGAAATGAACTCGACTCTCACGGCTGCCGATCAGCACGAGGAAAACATGGCTGTCAGAGTCGGGAAAGACAAATTGTTGGACTTAAAAAAAAAAATCTGAACCAGTGAAGCGTCACAAATGTCAAAATGGCCTCTGCTGAGAGTTATCTTCTGACACTTTCTTTTTTTTCCCCCCCCAGTACTCACAGAGGGGGGAATAATGCGCATATACACGTTTCATTGAGTGTACCAAAGTTACAGGTCCAAGTTCTAACAGTACTCCTCCTTCCTGCATTTATTTATAGTATGATTGACCCGCTTTGGTCGCTTTTAATGACAACTGCTCATTCCAGTTTTTCCTCAAGCTTAAAAACTCGTCACAGGAGCCGAACACAAATGGACCTCGGGACCTAAAGCCACGTTGCCTTCCATTACTGACAGACACTTGAACATCCCAGCCATTTTCACGCGTATGGAGATAAACGTTCTGAGCGGAGGGGTGAAGTGATGACGATGGAAGAGTCGCTGAGTCGTAGTGAAACTATTTAATCAGTCATTTGGTGTGAAAATAATCAAAAAAAAAAGAAACTTGTTTATGAAGCGCAGGTTTTCATCTCTTGCTTTTTTTTCTTTCCAGTGATTTTTTTTTTTCCATGTTCTTTTAACTGTTGGTCAAGAAACACAAAACTTTTAGTTTCATTTTCTTTACTCCAAACAAATGGCTGATTATGAGAACGACGTCACTGATAAACCAATACTCCAAATAATTGTTGGTTGGAGCTGCTAGTACTGGACGGAGCGTCAAGATATTTCCAGCTACATAATTTCCCTTCATGTTGACAACATAATAGTTATTTATACATAAAACACAACACGTACTGTTGATGCACCATTCCACTGGCACAAACCATTACTATGAGGTCACACCTAGTATAGCTCTAAACACGCTTTTACAGGATGCAACAGAAGTGAGCACGTGCTGGTGCAAAGTGAATTATTTGAAATTAAATAAATAATATACTAGAGAATATCTTCTCTTGTGAACAAATACTTCATGAAGACCATAGTGAAAATGCAGGTGCTGAAGTAGAAACTCATTGCAAATGCATGAACATGGTTATATAATGAGCTGATTAAGACCACAGCTCTGTAGTGAATGCATAGTCATGACAGGGAAGAACCCGAAGGCTCCATTTGGAAAAGAGTTTACAGAGAAATTTAAAAATTAGATTGTGAGACGTCACAAAGATGGAAAAGGATGAATTAAAAATCAGTAGAAATACAGTGTCCGCAGTAATCAGGAGGTAGAGAAGAAGCCGTAGTACCGCTAATCAGAGCTGCAGTGGTCGTCCTAAAATGAAGCCACAAATAGTGGACTAGCTTCACAAGCTAGCTCTGAGAAACAAACAACAGCAGCAGCTTCAAGATTGGCACCAAGGTTATCAATGGAAATCTAAAGGACAGTTCATACCATCTAAGCAAAAAGTCCTGCTTACTGTTGGGTGCAAACCTGCACGATTAAACCTTGCTGTAGAACTTGAAAAGATGAATAACGGGAGGATGTTTTTTAGTCAACTTAGACCACAAGAAATGTGTTTGGCTCAGATGGAGTCCAGTATGTTTGGTGTGAACCTGACCAGGACTACCACAGTGAATGCAGAGTCCTGTTAGTGAAGAACGGAGGTGGAAGTGTCATGATATGCATGCGTGCAAAAGATGTTGTTATAGATGCACCATGAACGTCTGTAGATACAGAATTTTCATGACACTGATCCAAACCACGCTGGCAAAACTCTTAAAATGACCGTGAGGTGAATTTAAGATCATGTGACATGTTTGCACAAGCGTGTACTCACTTCTGTTGTAAACTGTTGGCACTGATTTCTTCTGTAGTCGTGTCACTTCCACACACATGCTATGTAGTCTAGTGTTTTGTGTACAGCCACATTCTCTGTGGCGGTTCCATGTTTACCAGGTAAAGACCCAAACATGGTGGTGAGAAGCGAAGCAGCAGCAGTCCTCGCACCGATTCTGGCTTTTGGAAAGACTTTGGTTTATTTATCTCACCGCACACTAGCTGTAGTGGGTGTTGATGCATGGCACACAGTTTACAGTTTGCATTAAAAACTAAAAAAAAATACATCCAATTTTTAGCAAGTGTTGTTTCAGTTTGTTGTTATTTTTTACAAACATTGTAATTAAATGTTGTTTTTTTTTGTTGTTGTTGTTCATTTATCTGTCATCTTTTTATTTGAGCGGTCAGTGTCAAAATGCTTCCTGAGATGCATCCACTTCTTTCAGGGAAGTCACTGTCCAGTGCTGTGGTTGAGCCTGCTTTGTCGAATGTGTCGTGTTTGAGTGGGTGTGGTCGAGAGTGAGTGCGTGTTTATTTTGTACTTGAATCATGACTAGCTTTGAACTGTTGAAGTGATGTCAGTGTCGCATTATTCAGGGTTTGTCAGTTTGCGTAGTTCACCCTCAATCTACCTAATGCTGCATTTCAGATTTTCTCAAAAGGTCAGTCTGAGTGAACCTTCCAGCTGTTTGAGGATGGCTACTGTCAAGTTATGGTATAAATACCATTTACTGTAACTGTAATACTGTTCATGACAATAAAGTTTTTTTTAAATAAACACTCCTTTGATGTGCGGGTGATTTCCAGTGATTTTAATTGCACTAATTAAAAAAACAAGACAGGCGTGACATTGATTTATTAAAGAAATATCCACCTTAAAGTCCCTCTTTGTTGATTTAACCGCCGCAGTCTGGTGTTTGCACAGAAAGCCCCACATTGCAAGATGACAAGATTTGTTCTTTCGATTTGTTCCGTGTAAAGTCTAGAAGTCTAAACCTGTTTTCGTCATCAGTTGGAAATGCTCACCACTGGCACTAACTTATTACTGCACTCATGATGTGTCGACTTGTTAGTGTAGATGAAAAGATCCCCCTAAACACCCGTAATCTGAGAACAAATGTTGTCAGTGTACGCTTAAAAAGATGCTCAGTTGGTGAAAAACAAGCCAAATTCCTGCCACATCACCAAAAATATCCTCCTCTGTACCTCTGATTTTAGGTTTTGCTTTCCTGACTAACTAAAATGAAAACAGGAAGGGCCCATTAAGGGTTCAGTGGATGCAAAACCTGACTTAGTTTTTCATGGACCCTCCCTTTTTAGTGTCAGCCTCAACCATGAGTCACACAGTTTCAGACAAATATAACATTGTTTGGAAAAGTTTTACTTCAGGCTTCGTCTGTCGCTGCGTAAATGAAAAGACGTGCTGTTGTTCCTCCAGAGTCCCCCTCAGTAGGGCCCTTCTGCTGGCAGAGTGCTCACAGCTTTTAGTTTTGTTTCTGAGTCACTCAGCAGATTCTTAAAGGCTTAAAACCTCACCGAAAACCACAGAATCAATGTTGAGTGCTGCTTTCATCATCCCGATTAGATGAGGAACGTAACGTCCATGTAGAGACAGTAAAGACTCTCAGGTGTTTAAGTAGAGACGATAGAAACTCCCAGATGTTGATGTATAGACAACGAAGATTCTTGGGTGTCCACGTAGAGATGAGAAAGACTCCAAAGTGTCCACATAAAGATGGGAAAGACTCCTGGGTATCCTCTTAGAGATGATCAAGACTTTAGATGTCCTTGTAGAGACAATAAAGACTCCCAAGGTGTTTACCAAGAGACGCTAAAGACTCTTGAGTTTCCACAAAGAGACGATAAAAACTCCCGAGCGTCTACTTAAAGACGATAAAGACTCTCGGGTGTCACCAGAGTAAAGATGATAACGACTTCTTACAACTGCAATGAATATTTGATTAATCGTTTAGTTGTCAACTATTAAATCCATGGCCAACTAATCCACTAATAGCCTGAAGAAGTTATATGGGAGGAAAAAAGTCCAAATTCTCTGATTGCAGCTTCTTGAATGTGAGTATTTCCTGGTTTCTTTCCTTCTCTATGACAATAAACTGAATATCTGGGGGTTGTAAACAAAACAAGACATTTTAGGACGTCATGTTGGGCTTTGACAAACGCCAATTGTTGTTATTTTTTAACAATTTCTTTAATTTTATAGACCAAACAGCTAACTGTTCAATCAAGAAAACGGTCTACATTACAATCGATGGTGAAAATAAGAATTAGTTGCAGCACTACTTGTTACCTAATGAGCTGAAAGGTTTCGGGTGCTCCCTTAGTTATCCAGTTTAGTAGGTGGCGCTGCTGCAATAACCAAGGGTCCTAGAAACGTGGTCCTGAAACTACCTGCTGCTCTAATGTGCACAAAAACTGCCCAGGAACAGCTGGAGGAACACAACAAAGACCCCAAAACTACCCAGAACCCAAGTTGATCGAGCATCTGTTGGATGTAACAAACCCTAAAGCCAATGAATGGTATAGGTTTATTGATATTTACTCTATTTCTGATTAGATCCACATCTTGCTACTGCGGAAGCCTCACATGTTACTTTTCATGACTTTCTTTTTGCAAAGTTTCAAAGTCCTGCAAAAATAAGAACTTGCAACTGTGAAAGAGAAAAGTTGCAGAGTAACCAGAGTGCAGACGGGTTAATGTGATCAAACCACATGGATTTAATGCACTGGTACACAAGCTGTAAGTTTTGTTTTCCCAATGTAATGGAGAGCCAGTAGGGCCCGGTTAGGGTGTATGCAGACACACAGGAAGCTTCCAGCATTCAAACACACACAGTGATTCTAGACATGCTGTAGATGGGAACAAAATTGTGCTAAGTAAATATGGACTTCCATATTTACCTTTTGTTAGCCTTACATGTACTCATTGTTTTAAAAAATGGCTATAAACCACCTCTTTAGTTCTGCGGCCCTGTCGCTGCAAAACGAACCCCAGCTGCTGTTGCTCCAGAGACTCCCTCACTGGGGCCACCTTATCAGACTTTTAGTTTCGTTTTCCAGTTTCCACGTCACTCAGCTGATCACAACAGAATTTAAAACCCCAGCTCGGCACTGTACGGTGTTAGTTGGCCGAGGAGAAGCTGAAAACACTGCACCGCTCTGTGTTATTGCTGCTGAGAGGTGAGTTTAAAGGCTCATTTCCTAGAAACTGGCTTACTAACATGTTTCCTGTCTGCAGCGTTGCACTGATCCAACCAGTCGTTTTGGGTTTAATGTGTAATCTGGTGTCTGTTTCTTCTGTTTAAAACAGCAACTCTGCGTAACCCTGCTGTGTCACTGAGCAAGAGGAAAGTGCAGGATGGAAGAATTTCAGCTTTATGCATACCAGGAAGAAGTGGTTGAAAGGGCTCTTAAGGGGGAAAACATAATCATTTGGCTGCCGACTGGAGGTGGAAAGACTCGTGCTGCCGTGTACGTGGCCAAAAAACACCTGGAGACCACGAGAAATGCCAAAGTGGTGGTTCTGGTGAACAAGGTACATGAAAAAGCTCAAAACATACATGGAAAAACAACACAAAGAATGACTTTTATAACAGTAAACACAGCAATTCTGAGCATTTTTTTTAACCTGAAAGTGTTTTGAATGCCTTTTCGGATGTAGGTTCACCTTGTCGACCAACACTACGCCAAAGAGTTCCAGCCTCACCTGGGTCACAAGTACTCTGTGATGCCGGTCAGTGGGGAGAGCGAGGAGAAGGACTTCTTCGGGATAGTGATGCAGGAAAAAGACGTGGTCATCTGCACGGCTCAGATCCTGTACAACTCTCTGATCAACACGGAGGAAGCAAAACACGTGGAGCTCTCAGGTCAGTAAAGGTTCAAACTCGTGTCGTCGTCGTAACAGCGAGGCGAACTGAACCCGAATGTGTTCCCCGCAGACATCACGCTGCTGATATTCGACGAGTGCCACCACACCCACAAGGAGTCGGTCTACAACAAAGTGATGAGGTGCTACATAGAGAAGAAGCTGAAAGGCGAGCGAGCGCTGCCACAGATCCTTGGACTCACCGCATCACCGGGGACGGGAGGCGCAAAGGTCCTGGATAAAGCTGTGGAGCATGTCCTGCAGGTAAGTTTTACACATGTCCTCCCACAACTCTCTGTCTCTTTGTCTTTGTCGTCATTTCTGTCTCTGCCTTTCAGATTTGCGCCAACTTGGACTCAGCCATAGTTTCAGCTAAAACCTATGCCCCTGAACTGAAGCAGAAGGTTCCCAGACCCATCAAGACCTTTGACATTGTGGAGAAAAGACTTCAGGTAAGAAGATTCCTTTCCTGTTTATGACCCTTTGAACTTCAAAAAACCTGCTGCCGGGTTTGAAGACTATTTTTGAAAGTCAAATTGCCAAAGTGACGCCATTTATCACAGCCAGAACCTGTACAAATTTTATTTTTTTTTAAAAAGAGCCAAAAATACAGCATTCCTATTAAACAGATTCTGTGAAAAACAAAAAATTCTTTGCTCCACTCTTCATCTGTAAAGACATTAGTGACTCAGCAGCGACCAACGGTCATGTGACAAAAATTCAATGACTTTTCAGCTGAACTGCAGGCTTTGTTTATACAGATTGAATTGTAAGTATGTAAAAAAAAAAAAAAAAAAATGCAGGCTTTGTTTATACAGATTGAATTGTAAGTATGTAAAAAAAAAAAAAAAAAAGTATTATAAGTTCGTGCCGCCACAGCTCCTTTTGTTAACATTTTTATGTAGTTAAACTGATTGGAAATCACAGGTGTAAGGTTTTTTGACTTTGGGGTCTGTATTTTTAATATGACCTTTGCAGACATCTGTAAAATATATATTAACATGACAGGAAAAACTCAACTGCTGACAACAGCATGACTAAAAGTTCTTCCTTTTATGAACACAGACACCTTATTTTTTTTTCTCTGTTAGGATCCGTTAGGGGATCATTTGAAGTGGATGATGGAGCTGATTCACGGCTACATGAACCTTCCTCCAGATGTCATACTCAGAGAATGCGGCACTCAGGAGTACGAGGCAGACGTGGTGCTTCTGGAGCAGCGAGGTAAGAACGTGGTGTCGCTTCTCGTCCTGTCATGAGCACATTCGCCGTTGTGACGCGGGTGAGGACTAAGGTAGTCAAATGTTTAAAGAAATCCATGCTCCTGCTGACGTCTATGCAATATTTTGTACATCAGGCGTCAGAGAGAACAACAGACTGCTGGCTCAATGTGCAATCCACCTCAGAGAGTACAATGACGCCCTGCTAATCAATGACACCCTGAGAATGATGGACGCTTATCGCTCCCTGGAGGATTTCTACAACGTCAAGTCCAGCACGGCCATTGATGGGACTGACTTCTTCCTGGTGGGGCTTTTCGAAGGTATGAATCCTAAAATTTCATATGTTTAGCTGCATGACTTCTAATTTATGTTGCAGGTTTTTCACCATCGTTGTCATTGTTGTGCAGAGAACCAGGTGGAGTTGAAGAAATTTGCTACGGATTCTCGCTTTGAGAACCCAAAGATGGCCAAACTCGAGAGCACTCTGCTGAAGCAGTTTGGTCCAGATGTCCAGTCGAGGGGAATCCTCTTCTCTAAAACCCGTAAAAGCATCCACTGCCTCAATGACTGGGTCCTCAAAAACAGGGCCTTGCAGAGAGCAGGTATCAAGGCAGCAATCCTCACAGGAGCTGGTAACGGCATCACTTACATGACTCAGGTGTGTTGATATACAATCTTCACCAACAAAGTATAACCCCAAAACCCACCGACAGGTTTGAAAATTGTGTTATCTGTTTTTAAAAAATCACCAAAATTGCATAATTCTTTGGAGCAGGAAGCCATATAAACAGAAAGAGTCATCAGATTTTCATATTTTGGACAAATCTTAGACTTGTTTTATATTTTGTTTTGGATTGCTTTGGACTTGGCTTTGGACTTGGTTTTGGACTTGGTTTCAGGCTGCTTCGGACTTAGTTCTAGGTTGGTTTTAGACTAATTTTGGGTCTGGTTTTGAACTTGTTCACAGACTGGTTTTAGACTAGTGTTGGACTGGTTATGGACTTGTTTTAGACTGTTGTTGGACTGATTTGGACTGGTTTTAAGTTGGTTTTGTATTGATTTCGGACTTCGTTATGAACTGGCTTTAGACTAGTTTTGTGGTGGTTTTGGATTTTGTTTTAGACTGGTTTGGACTTAGCTTTGGACTTGGTTTTGAGATGGTCTTAGACTTGGTTTTAGACAGGTTTAAGACTGGCTTGGGACTTGGTTATGGACTGCTTTTAGCCTGGTGTTAAACTGGTTGAATGTTGTTATTAGGATGGTTTCAGTTTTGGACTGGTTGGGACTTGGAAACATGTTGGATGTCTTGTGGTCATAGTTTTTTTTTTTCTCTTTTTTTTTTTTTAAATTTTCATAACATTAATAATCAAATGAAATGTTCTTCATTTTTCATGATTTGCAGAACAATAACTGTTTCATACTGCATAAAATGCATTTTTTAGTTGTAGCCATGGTTGTACTGTTTCCACAGAGGTTAAGGATTTTACATTGCAGTGTAAAATGAGTCCACTGCGAGTAAAACATGTATCATGAGCATAAAATGCCCAGAAACTACTTGCTTATCAGAGACGTAAGTCATTCCTGTTCAGTAGCAATTTCTTAATGAACATTTGCTTCTGCTCTTAATCTTAACATTACATTTTTGTGCTCCTTTCTTGTAGCACGAGCAGGCAGACACAATCCGCAACTTTCGCATCGGTCGTCTGAACCTCCTGATCTCCACCAGCGTGGCTGAGGAAGGCCTCGACATCCCTGAATGCAACCTGGTGGTTCGCTACGGTCTGCTTACCAATGAGATCGCCCAGCAGCAGGCCAGTGGACGAGCCCGAGCCACAGACAGCCAGTACTCTGTGGTCGCCCAAGCAGGAGGACGGGAAATTCGCAGAGAGCACATCAATGAATATCTGGAAGAGCTGACTGGGAAAGCCATCGCTGTTGTCCAAAATATGAGCCACAACGAGTTTCGCACCAAGGTGAGGGTGCATTACTCTACCATCCATATCCATTGGTCTTACTGCTGAGCTGACAGGCTGTGTATAAAAGATGGAAAGCAACGTGCCTTAAACCTGCATTCTTTCTCACAACCAGGCGGGGGTGACGAATGTGGTTGCAAAACCAGTGTAGCTATAGTACCTGGTTGTTCCACCAGGTGGAGCCTCTCGCTGTTTAATACTGTACCAACCAAAGGAGGTTACTCGAACTACAAGCAGTTTATGTTAGCAAGCAGAGAGAATTGTGGGGATTTGGCTAGCAAAGGGGCACAATGACAATGACTCGCCATTTTAATGACAATATTTGCTTCCCTGTCTGCAAACGTTCCACCAATTGCTACCAATTACACCAATTATCCCCAATTACTATTTTGCAGGAACACTGTTGCTGCATCCAAAGAAGATTGGTTCAAAGAAATACTCAAGCCAGTGTTTTTTCTAAATATAGCGGAATGATAACACGGTGCAGCAGATCATTCTCCAAGGATCCATTCACTGTGAAAGTGGTTCTGCTGATGTGAGACTAATGCTTTTTATATTCTCAATCTCACATCAACTTTTCTTCTTCTTTGTCTCCAGATAGCTGAGCTTCAAACAGAAGCAGTCCTTTCCAGTAAATTTGCAGAAAGATGCAAAACAGAAAAGCGCAGTCGCTACTTGGCTTCCAACATCCAGCTCCTGTGCCGAAACTGTTTTGCGCCGGTGGCCTCAGGCGAGGACATGAAACTTGTTGACAACGTGCACTACGTCAACGTCAGTCCTGAATTCAAGTGAGTAGAACTCTTTCTGCTACAAGAGCCTGCGCAGAAGTGTCTTCAGGGTAAAGTAAAGCTCTACTTACGGCTTGTCTTTGTTCTCAGGAATCAGTACAAACTTGGTGCTCAGGTGGTACTGCCAAAGACTTTTGAGGACTGGGAGCCTGGACGTAGGATCATCTGCAACAATGGCAACTGCAACAGGGTACATGAATTATCCAATATGTCAGTGGAGCTGACATTGGTGAACATGTTGAATTTTAACCATTATTCGATATAAAAGCCACCAAAAAGGTTCATAATGTTGTGCCTGCCTGCTATGGGCCAGTGATGATCAGGCAGCATGGTCACAACATGTAGCCAAAATAACACTTCTTATCTAAAGACTTTGGGTATTCGAAAAAGATTTAGAAGGAGAAAAAAAAAATTTCAACCAGTCTTCAGAGTTTGATGTAAATCACGTTTATTCAATTCAGAGGCTGTACAAACAAACATGAGCAAAATCTCAAGACATGGCCAGCTAACAATGTGTTATATGTCCTTATATACGTTTGCGAACTTCGTCCAACTCCCTGCCTTTCCCCGAAAAACCCAACCAATTTTCTTCGATACCTATCAGAAAGTCCATAGTAGGGCTGGTCCGAAAAGCAATTTCTGTTGTCCGGATATTCGGCCCCAATCAATGGCGAATATTCTGAATATCTGGGGGTGCCACGTGGTGGTGGCGGGTGGGTATTTGTTCTGATGGAGGGGGGTTGCGCAGGCTCCAACGGGCTGGAAGTGGGCAGGATGCACAGGCAGCATTTGGCTACTAACACCAGTTTAGGTGTTTAGGTTAGCGGTTACGGCACCGAGATCGAAATGGATATCCCGAACGAATAGTCGGTTATTCGGCTATTCAGGTCCAGCCCTAGTCCATAGTCAGCATTATTTCTCGTTTAGCACTGTGTAATTTGAGACTTTGCAGCTGCAACGCACATCGCTGGGGTTTTCTAGCTATCCTGGGCACCATCTTTACCAGATCGTTCAAGGCCACGGTGTCCTTATTTAAACTCACGTATGAACGCAGAGCGAGGGAGAGCGTGTGCACATCAGGTCTGCTGTAGTCCAACCTGAAAACAGGCCTCAGGCTTCTGGAGATGTTATTGGGTTGGATTTTTACTTCAGTCATTTAGTTTAGACATCATATTATCTAATCTCATTATATGTCTATACTTAAATCTTACACATCATAGTCATATCTCTAGTTTTGTCGTTTGTTTAATTCTAAAAAAAAATCCCACCACACTACCTGACCTCCTCATAATCAGCTGATTTTGTATGTACAATAACTTTAACATATTTATTGAAGCCATGCGAAGTTTTGCCTTCATACTATGAATATTTTTAGAGTTACAGGCTCTTGAAGTTCATAGAGGTGGAAAGTTTACGCTTTTTAATTAACTTTTCCATCATTTCTGAGTCTCATAACTTCATCAGTACAGCAGATCCATCCATCCATTATCTATACATCGCTTAATCCTCACTAGGGTCGCGGGGGGCTGGAGCCTACAGCAGATAGACATGTGAGATATTCAGAGCTGAAAAACACATTTGAGTTATGTTAAAAACTTAAACCAAATCTGTTTTCCATCCATCCAGGTGTCACAATCTAAAGACTGAATCTCTTTTTTGTTTGCCCATAACCAGCTTTGAGCATCCACATTATGGGATGTATCATAGTTTGAACTGCAGCAGTTTAATGTCTATGACATAGAGCCATAGAAACAAGCACTGGTACCCTGGATGGGTTTTCTGTTTTCTGATAATTCACCAGAGAAAACTTTAAAAAATGCCTTTAGGGTAAACTTTCAAGGCTCATTTCAGCATGTGTGATAGAACAAGTTATAACAAATGAAAGGTCTCATTTTTACCTACATTTGATTCCAGGATCATCTTCTAGACATGAGTCACTCTGGGGCAAAATATAGTCATGTTTTAACCCTCACACAATGTAAAATGTGAGATTGTTTTACTCAGTGAATTAAAACTCTGATGATTTCTGCAGAATCATTTTCTACCTCGTAGAAAAGACAAGTGTTGGATACCAAGATTACACATCATCACTGTTGTTCACAATCTGTGGACGGACACAGAACAAACTGACAGAACAAGAACTGAACACTATTAGAGGAGAAAGACTCTCTAACAAGCTCTGAATGCTGTAAACTGGTTTGATCAATGAGATGTATCCAAACTGTTCTATCAAACACAAGAACACCAATGTTGTTTCTGCATTTCAACACCAGAAGATGAATGTGTAAGTGTTAAAACGTCTGTATAAGAAAACAGTTTTGGAGAGGAAAGAATTGTGTCTAGGAGATGATGCTGGTATCAAATGTAGGTTAAAAATGAGACCTTTCATTTGTTATCTCTTGTTCTGACCAACCACCTGTCACACAAATCAAACCAACACTGAACGTTGTAAACTAGTTTGACCAATGGGATTGACGTAAAACATGCCGACGCCAAAGTTGTGTCTCCATTCACCACCAGAAGGCACAGCCGCGAGTGTTAAAATGACTATAAAATAAAACTGTTTTGCCCCAGAAGGAATCGTGGCGAGAAGATGAGCCTGATATTAAAATGTTGGCAAAATGGAGACCTTTAATTTGCTACAACTTGTTTTGCAAGCTGATATGTTGATTTGACCTTTGAAAGTTTACCCAAAATGCGTTTGAAAGACTCTTGAACAAGCAGTAAATGCACCAAACTGGTTTAATCAGTGTGATTCCTCCAAATGGTTGCATTAAACACATGAACACCAATGTTGTTTCTCCATTTCACCACCAGAAGATACACTTACAAGTGTTGAAATGACTGTTTCAGAGGAAGGCACTGTGAGTGATTTTTCATGGAATGACCCTTCTGTACATTCACAGGACTGGGGATACGAGATGAAGTACAAGAAGTGCGCCTTACTGCCAAATGTGGCCATTAAAAACTTTGCCCTGCAGACCCCTGATGACAGGATAACTGTGAAAAAGTGGAAGGATGTCCCTTTCACCGTCGAGGACTTCAGCTTCACAGAATACTGCGAAGAAAACTTCCCCGACTTCCTCGACTGAGCCGCCAAAGAGCTCTGTGTGGGACCATTTTATTATTGGAGGTGCTTAAATACAAGCTTTTCTTAAAAAAATTTCCCTTTCCACACATGCTCGGCCACGTTTGCGCTGGGAGCTGTGCGCTGAAACCCATTAGGCATCGATCATGCTTGAAATTAGCATGACAGCTTTGTTTATGCCCAAGGTCTGAGCCTCTTTGCATGTTTTTTTTTTTTTTTCTCTCCTCGGCCTCATCTCACGTCAAGCACAGAAGCAGGAGGCATAAAATGAACTCTGCTGCAACATGCACTTTAACAATTATGACTATTTGACACGCCACTTTTAGAGTATAGGCAGTAATATAAACACTTGCACTGTGGGGATATTGTGTGTGATTATTTAAATGTTTTCAGAAGCCTGATTTTAACTCCATTTTTACATTCCCCCTTTTATTTTCTTTTTAGTTATTCTGATGTATGAGTATGTATTTGGTGTTGATGTATGCAATTTTTAAAATATATTTGAAATGAAATCTGAATAAACACTCTTTTGAAAAGATTAACAGCTCCTCTGTAGTTATTCTGCCTTCATCAGCCACTAGGTGTCAGTGTTGGTTAGCCAATGTCCTCACCGCATCAGCTGCTGGATCTTCCTCTGTCTTCATTACTTCCAACAAACGGTGTGAATAAAGCCAGGATTGAACTGAAAGCAATGTGCAGCTGATGCTCAGTGAGTCTGAGGGACCAGAAGTGAGTCTGGATCCACAGACTTGATGCAAAAATGAGGGTGAAGGTGGACAAATGTGCGACTTGTTGCTCAAAGCTGCTGCTGCTGCTGAAGGACTCTTGAGCAAAGCACTAAATCCTAACAGTGAAGAATCCACACCAGGAGTACACAGTGTTTCTACGACCTTATGCTCATAAAAACAGTTTATAACTGGTTTTAGACTGGTTTTGGACTGTGTTTGAACTTGGATTTGAATTTGTTTTAAAGCTGGTTTAGGCTTGGATTTCAATTTCGGTCTCAGTGTTTGACTGTGTTGGAAGGATTTTGGACTTTGATTTGGTCTTTGTTATTGACTGGTTTTGGACTTAGTTTAGAACTGGTTTTGGACTGGTTATGAATTTGATTTTGACCTGGTATTGGACCCCTGTTAAGCTGGGTTTTAAATTTGGTTTTGGGCTGGTTTTAACTTGATTTTTGACTGGCTTTTCCTTTTGTTTTGGACTGGTTTTAGCCTTGGTTTAAGAATGGGTGTCGATTGACTTTGGCCTTGATTTTTAACTGGTTTTAGACTAGTTTTGGACTCATTTGTGGACTGGTTTTCGACTGGTCTTGTTATGCCCAGCTCGTTGACGAGCATAACAAAGAAGGGAGGTTGACATGGGAACAGCTTTTAAAATAAATGAGTAATTTATTGAAACTGAAATGTATTGAATTGAACTAGTTTTACATTTGTTATGAACAGGTTTTGGTCTTTTTTAATTTTATTTTTTTAAACTGGTTTTGATGTTGTCTTTGGACTGGTTTAGCATTTAGTTTTGGACTGGTTTTATGTTGGTTTTAGGCGGATTTTGTGCTGGTTATGGACTTGGGTTTGGACTGATTTTAGACATGTTCTGGGGACTGGTTTCAGACTGGCTCTGGTGGCGATGTGGTTTGCGGTCATGCGGCAGATTACGTATGTCTTGGTAAACTCATAGGCACAAACAGATCTGGTCTCTTTGTGGCTGTAAAATGAGTAAAATGTTCACTGAGCGTCTGCTGCAGCTCTGTGCTGCTTCTGCATCACTGGGTCAGTGTAGAAGTTCTGTATTTCAGCTTCATTTAACACCATAGAAACACTCAACGCTGAGAACATGATTTATTATACTTGCAAATGATCATTTAACACGCTCGCTTCAAAGACACATTTTATTGCATAATAACCTCGCTGTTTGCTGTAACCCGAAAGATTCCCAAAAGGCACATTTGGACGTCCGTTCTTTCATTTAGCTGCTGTGTTTACATACATGAATCCAGCTTAATATGCAGACGCTCTGCTGCAGCCGTAATGAGCAATTTCCAAAACAAACCCAGATTATGAAAAGGAAAAGAGACGGGCGAGGAAACCGTTCATTTCCAGGCTGGCAGACGTTTTGGGAAGATTCCTTTTTGACCCATAAAACATCTTTGTGTGTTTCTCCGGGCAAAGATATGATTAGGTCAACCTCACGGTGTCACATAATCCTTTCAAATCTGGCAGAGAGCTGCAGTCATGGACATAATCAGAGCAAAAACAGGCCTCGGTGTCAGTCCTGACTCAGTCGCTGTATGATTTACTGTGATCAGGCTCAGGCTCTATAATCAGCACTGATTGCTTCCTTTCACTTCGCAGCTCAACACTTTGTGCATCTTAATTGCAATTAGGTGTCTTCTGAAATTAAAGCAGCTTGGAGTGGCTGAGCGATGGATGATAAAGCAGCACGCCTCTCTGTATTTATGTATATATGTGAGTGTAGGTGTGTTTGTGTGGATGTACAAGATGCTGCTCACAGGAGACGAGTGTCGCGAGTATTGAGGTCACATTTACATGAGAACTATTAGAATCCTCTTTCTTCTGAGACATGTTTGAATGAGATACAATGAGCAATAAAGCAGCACCTGGTGTCTTATTAAATTTCAAGTTCAAACCCTGTCTAAAACCAGTCCAAAACAAAGGGCAAAACCAGTCTAAAACCAGTCCAAAACAAAGGGCAAAACCAGTCTAACACCAAGATTCAAACCCAGTCTACAACCAGTGAAAAGCCAAGTTCAAAACCAGTCCAAAACAAAAGGCAAAACCAGTCAAAAACGGATCAGAAGCAAAGGGCAAAACCAGTCTAAAACCAGTCCGAAACAAGTCCAAAACAAAGGGCAAAACCAGTCCAAAACCAGTCTAAAATCAGTCCCAAACAACAGGTAAAGCCAGTTGAACCACCATGACTTGTGCTTGGTTTCAGCCTGGTTTGGGATAGTCTTGACTTGGTTTTAGACAGGATTTAAATAGGTTTGGGACTTAGTTTTGGGCTGGTTTTAAACTGGTTTTGGTCTTGGTTTTGGATTGGTTTTAGACTGGTTTTAAACTTGGGTTAGGACTGGTTTTGAACTACATTTAGACTGGTTTTAGTCTTGGTTTATAACTGGCTTTAAAGTAGGTTTGGACAGGTTTTGAACTTGCTTGCAGGCTAGTTTTGGAGTTGGCTGTGGACTCATTTTGATTTGGTTTTGTGTGTGATAATTACATATAATACATTTTAAATGTTTTAGTTGACAAAACAAACAATCTATAAATACAAACTGCATGTATACATTTCCTTTTTGCCTTTATGTACATATTTGTTCTACACACACGATATATTCTGTGTATTAAAGGTCAGCTGCTGGGGATGATAAAGTTTTTCTAAATCTGAATATGTTTCGTCAGTTTCATCATTATCAGATTAATTCATGAACTGACGCTGAAAATAATAACTTGCAGGTTTACTATTATTTGGCTTCTTCCATATTAGTACATTTTAATCACATCTTTCCTCCGGTGAGTTCAGCTGTGAACACTTTCTATTTGTTTTATCCCAGACAGCAGAGCTCCAGACATGAATGCTGCTGTCATAGCTGAGTGATTGACAGGTCATTTGTCCAATGAGCTGCTGGCACCAGGAGTCAGGTGACCCGGTGACCTCTGCACTCTGAAGAGGGACACATGCAGCACAAACCTGCACACCTGATGGAGTTTTGACAATGAAAAATCAGGACACAGGGTGTTTGTGTTCAAGATTTTCCTCAGTGGAAGATGACCCAGCTGCATTGTTGCTGGTAAGTGTTGGTTTAATGCTTCTAATTTAAGGTGCTCCTTTCTATTTCTTCAACAAACATACATTTTATCAGTTAAAGAAACTCTGAGCTCGTGTTTGCCTTAATGTTGTTGCTTAACAATTTGTGTTTTAAACTGACTTTTGGTTTTGGATTTGAACTGGTTTTAGGCTGATTTTGAACTTGTTAAGGACTTGGTTTTGTGCTTGGTTTGCAACTTGAGTTTGGACTGGGTTTCGGACTGAATCTAGAACGACTTGAAGGTGGATGTTTGACTGGTTTTAGATGTGGTTTTATACTCGTTTTACACTTGTTTTAGATTTGGCTTTGAGCCTGGTTTTGGACTAGTTTTGGAGTGCTTTTGGACTTGGTTTTGGACTGTCCTGGACTTGGTTTTGAATTTAAGTGGACCGGTCTTCAACATGATTTAAATAACAGGTGGGAAAGTTATTTACCATTTCTGAATCTTCATTATACAGAATTTTTCTTTCAAGTAACATCAAATATCTGTAAAATAAATGTTTCTGCAGGTTTATGTACAGCAGAAACAGAACAGCGTCATTTATTGGTCAAACATTGTAAAACAACAAATCATCATTTGTAAAAATATACTATATTTTTTAAAGTTAAGATTTGAAAAACTACATTTTTCCCTTTTTTTTTTAAATGTTTTTTTTTTTTTTTTACACAACACATTATCTGTAATATAACAATCAGTATAAAAATCTGAAAAATAACAAATTGTTTAAATAAATCACTCTAAAAAGCTGTTAAGAAAGGTTTATTTTTAACAGTGTGGGTCAGTTTCATGGCTGCAGACAGAATAAGCACCTGTCAGGTTACTGTCAAACATGCAGCGATACACTCTGGCTGTCAGCGCTTTGTAACACAACATTGTTTTGTGCGTCTGTGGTTGTCACACATGCTCAGTTCAGGACACACAAGTGTCTCCTCCAGCAGCGAGTCGGTCACCAGGACGGACTCCTCCTCTGGGAGCTCCTGTCAGCCGGCCTCTCCTTCTGTCTGGGGCTGCTGGCGTCGGCTGTCGGCCGCTGGTTGAGGTGATTTCTGGGTTTTCTGGGTCTGAACGAGGCCTTCAGAGTCGTGTTGACACATGACGGTAAACATGATCAGTCAGAGGACATGAGAGGCCATTAGTCAACTCTGTGTTACCTTATCTGGTAGAAATCTATGCACACTGTATAAAATGAATGTTTTTTTTTTTTCTTTTCTTATTTTCTGTTTGCAGTTCTAACTGTAATTTGTTTCAGAGATTTTCCCTGTTTTGGTAAATTACAGATGATATCTAGCAAATAATTTACATGTCCATGTACAGGCCAAAACATCCACATCAGAGTTTGTTCCTTTGCAACATTTGATAATGAAACTGCTAATTTTTTTGAATAAAAAAAAAACTTTAAATTTTTTAAAAATTATTTGCAGATATTTTTTTAAAATAAAGATTCAAAAATGGCTGTCATTTTACAAATTTTTATTTATTTTAATGGGAAAAAAAAGTTAGGTTACAAAAAATATTCAGTAAAATCACACAAACAAATTATTTACATGTTTGCAGTAAAAATCAATTTCACTTACCAAAATGTATTATTTTTACAGATAATACTTTTTTATTAAAATATAATTTATATTTAGGAATATATTTTAAAATTACATATTTTTTAAATTTTAAATTTTTAAATATTTGAAAAATAACTTCAACAAACTTAA